AGATAATACCGCCAAACTCGACGGTTCTGAAAATTGAGAAAGTCGGATTGTGCCTTACTTTGCGTACAGCAATTTCCTCAACAGTCTCTTCGGACGAAAACAGCTCGGCGTCGCCCGAAAATCCACTTTTCCACTTTTTCCTTCGTTTTTCTCTCTCCTCAACTTTTTCTCTCTCTTCAAAATATCTCATTTCTATATATATCCAAACTGATCGTCCTGGACGATCGAGCTTCGTACCGGACGATCCATGAAGAGAATGATTTCGTCCAGACGAAAATTGAACATCGTCCCTGGCGAAGGGTTCACTGACTTATTTTCGTCCAGACGATCCTGATTTCGTCCAGACGAACCATACAGCCAAACATGATTTTCTCTGCACAACCTGTACCGATCGTCCCGGACGATCCGACTTCGTCCGGACGAACCTGGAGCAAAAACTGATATTACAATCTCCCCAACTTAAAAAAAAATGTCGTCCTCGACATTATCCAGTCCAAACTCAGTCAAAACAAGTATGGGTACAACCGTCTCATGTCAGACTCCTTCTCCCAAGTGGCTTCCCGTGCAGTACGGTGCTTCCACTGGACTTTAACCATTGGAATCTGTTTACTTCTTAGCTTTCGTACGTCGTATGCCAAAATCAACTCTGGCTCTTCCTTGTACGTCAGATTCTCCTGAATCTCAACCTCATCAGCAGATACTTTCTTCCCAGAGTCGGATACCCACTTCCTCAGAGTGGATACGTGAAACACATTATGCACATCAGGCATCGAATCAGAAAGCATCAATTTGTAAGCAGCTTTTCCAATCCTTTCCAGGATTTCAAAAGGTCCAACATACCTCGGACTAAGTTGTGGAGTTGGTCTTTTGTGCTGCTTAAGTGAAAGTTTATATTATAACAAGGTATAAATAGGTGTAATTAGGGGTAATCAACTCAATGAAATTATAAAAGCTCTCGCTTTTAGCTTAAGGGTTAGTTTGAGACAACTTTCTTAATGCTTTCTAAAACAATGTTTTAGTTAAAAAATTTCTTGAATTAGAATTTTTTGTACTAAAAAATTGTTTTAGAAAGCAATGAAAAAGCTGTCCCAAACAAAACCTAAGTATATCTCTAAAACTTTTTTCAAAGTAAAGGTGAAGAAATGTCAAGCACAGTGTAAATTTAAGCTTAATGTATAGTTCATTGAGTTTGATGTTTAGAAGGATCAAGGAGCTAATCAATGGTATTCACATAGATTGACGTATGGAGAAATCCTCAAAGAAGACAAATTGGAAAAAGGAGCATAAAAGAAAGAAAAAATATGTGAGAGTTTTTGGAGCACGAATAGAGGTGTCAATTTGGGTCAACAGATTGAGTTCAGGTCGAACCTAACCTTACCCATCCTTAAACGGGTCGATACTAACCCGATCCGGTTTTGCAAACGGATCTAGATTGTCAACCCAGACCTAACCCGTGCAGGCTACTAGTTGACCCAATCCGACCCGTGAGGGAGGGACGACGACATTCAGCTCTCAGGCGGGACGGCTGAAGACCGGCAGCTCACGGGCATCCAGCGGTAGTCCGGGACGATAGCTACAGCTCGCGGGCATCTTCAGCTCTACAGCAGCATGCAACGGCGGCAATTTGACAACGGATGGCAAGCTGGCAGCGCAAGCAACAGCTCGGGAGGGCAGCGACTGACATCGGTGAAGGGATGCGACTGTGAGTCTGCATTGCAACCGATTGACGTGACATCCGAGTCAATTCAGGTCGACCCGCAGGTTTCTAGGTCAATCTGAACCCAACCCATTTTTCAAATGGGTCGGAAGTTTGAAACCGGACTAGACCCATTTCACAAAAGGGTTGACCCAAACCCGAATTTTTTCAGGTCAAGTCTAAGTCGGGTTTCAAGTAATTAAAATTGTGTTAATTTTTGACACCCCTAAGCATGAAGAAGTAATATGAATTTGAGTTGAAGTGAGCCCTACCAACTCAACTTATGGGTTAAACTCACACAACCAGCTAAGCCTACTCAAGTTAAACTACACTTAAGGTATGTTTCAGACATTAGCAACTTTTTGTAAATGTGGTTATAAAGTTGTTGTGAGAAAGTAATTTTTTTATAATTTATTATAAAAAGTAGCTTCCTAGCACATAAATTTCTCAAGAGCAACAAAAATATAGTCGCAAAATAAAAACTGCAATTCTACTCTAAAAAGCAAAATATTAAGAAAGTTATCACAAACGAAAACTTATGAATAAGCTTAGCGCATAAGCCTAACTTAACAAGTCCAAAAATCGAACTCAAGTTTGATTTATTCATGTTTCGACACACACTCTCTAGAGAGAGAGAGAGAGAGAGAGTCAATTGTTCCTTGACTGCGGCTTATTTAGTCCTACTTACATCCTATCATTCTACTGCTGAAATTTATTTTGATTTGGACTTCATTTGGGAATACTTTTTTGCCACTACTTTTTATCTAATTTTAAAACATTTTTATGTAAAAAAAAATAAGAAATTTATCTCAAATGAAATCTTGATTTTGTAATTAAGCTTGAAATTAAACTGGACGTCCAATATGAATAAGACAAAAATGTAAAGCAGCAACAGCAAATAAATAATTATTAACGTAACTATCAAGAATACCCACTCCCCAATTAGGCCTAGATATATTTATTGATAATATATAAATATTCTATCCATTAATAATATTCTTTAATATCACTGGTCTTTAAAAAAAAATCAATAACAAGTAGCTCGTGTTACACAAGCCCTCACAAACTTTTGTAATAGCCCTCATCATATGACCCACTTTGTGTAGTTACATATCTGAGCAAAATTATTACGTGTGATCATCGGATGTTATCTGGAGGTGAATCAGAATGTATCACGTGAGCATTTTGTTGTGTACCACTGTTATGTATAGTTGTGTACTGAATGACGTGGTGCATCTTGATTCACCTACCGACGATCGAGTGACCACACGTGATAATTTCTCGTGGCCACTCCAAAATCAAGTTTCATTAAAAAAAACTATGAGAGCATCACGTGGCAGGATAAATATTATTCTGTGTGGAGTAGGACACAGCTCTAACTCCGGAGATCAACCAGAATGCGCCACATCAGCGGGACCGAGCGAAGAGGTGATATGACACATTCTGATTGGTCTACGGATGACGTTTGGCGTCCGCACAGAATAAGTAATCCATTTGGCAGAGTATTTGTGGCCAAAGCATAGCAGTTCTTGGACCTGACACGTTTGTAAGAAGGAAGAAAGAATACTACAACCGGCGAACCTCACGTTTGTTGAGATGTTTTGGCCTTCGAGGTTGCGTTAATTCACTGCATGTATTACAACAAAAGGGAAAAAAAATCTTTTAGGTGTAGCGATTTTAATTTTTAATTACATGCCAGCTAATTTAATTGAAAATATTTTTAAAAATTATTGAAATATTTTTAAAAAATTTGAATGGTTATTATGGCAGAATTATGCTTAAGTGTTATTATTTTTGCTCCCTAAATATTTCATGCGAAAAAAAAAATTATTTATGAATATCTTGATGAAATTTATACTAGTGCTTATATATGATCTTGTAAATTACACTAATTTTAGAATAAATATGATGGCTCTTAAGTACATCTTGCTGCAAATTGAATCTGGATATATATCCTTAGGTAATTTTTTTTTTAATACATATGTAAATTTAATGGCATGCTATTTGATACGTCGCCAAAATTTGTCTTGATCAGACACGAATCTTGAAGCATATATGAATTAGACTCGAACAATAATTTTTTTCAATTTCTAGTTTATTATTTTAAGTATTAATTTCAATTAATATACTTATTAATATTGTGTGCTAGAAAATTTGAGTCGGTAGAGTGTGTGTTTTACTTCGCAATTTTGTATAAAAATTCAACAAGCGCAAATAAATAAGTTCATAAAATTTTTACGTGACAAACCTTGAAAGGGGAAAAACCACTCGGCTTGGCTTAGATAAAATTCACTATATATTAGAAGATATAAGAATTATTTCTTCCTTATAGTTGAAGAAGAATACAACTATTTAAAAATAAGATGTTAGCTTTCTCTTAAGGGGATTAACAGAAATCCAATGTTACCATATGAAGACTTAACTCCCAACAACAAGAATTGATTTCCCAATTAGAGATTTAGAAAGCATGTGTCGACAGGCAGGCAATTATACCCAATAGCAGGGTTAAATCTGGTCAAAATTTTAGAGATAATGACAATCGCTGATAGTGATTACTGGCAGCCATGATAATTGTTGGTGACAATAGTTGGAAAATACAAAATAGCTCTCTAGTTCACTCGTTTCTTTCTCCCTCCTCCCTTCATGTGGAGAATAAGGATCAATTTATAGATTTTGTTTTGGATGAACATTTAATGATTTGAATCATAATCCAAAAAACTTTATCATACGGTCTATATCGATTCCCTTAATTATGAAGCATTTTTTCAAAATTTAAATTTCTTAATGATATCAAAATTGAGTGAACTTAGACTCCTTCGATTCGTACGTCGAGCCGCTCAATTCGTCTATAAATATGTCAACTTTTGTGTTCAATTGATCATAATTTTAATTTCAAAATTTTTAAATTTTAAAATTACCTCGATATTCAATATAAATCATATGAATTTTTGGAAGTCATATTAATTATAAATTTCTCTAAATTCACATAAATTTAATATCTATAATTAAGTTAATACTCATCATATAACTATAAAGCATCTTATATTTATATTAATTTTAAATCCAACTTATATAATTATAGGATAGTTTTAAGAAAAATTGTTTGGATATAGTAAATAATAAATATTATAATCCAAGTTTTGTTTTGCTACTCAAAAAGAGCACATGATCCGATTTCAGTAACGGTCGGACTCCACAGTTTAATTTTAAAAATAAATAAATATTTATTAATAAAGAGCCTGCCGTCACTGCGCGTGATTAGTGGCATCTCCTCAATCAGATCTCGTACTCTACACTCCTCTCGCAGCCTATAAATAACCCCACCTTACTATTTCCCTCTTCCATTCCTTCTCAGACAAACAACAAACACCTTGTACGCATTAAAAAAAAGGACCACCAATGTCACTCGAACACGACGCAGCGGCATCCATGAAAGTCTTCGAGTGCAAGACCTGCAATCGTCAGTTCCCGACTTTCCAAGCGTTGGGAGGTCACAGCGCCAGCCACAGGAAGACGAAACCGACGGCCGGCGAAGCGGAGGGGAAGTTGGGGAAGGCTAGGGTTCACGAGTGCCCCGTCTGCGGCCTCGAATTCGCCGTCGGGCAGGCACTCGGCGGCCACATGAGACGCCACCGGCCGATGGCGATGAAGACGGAGGAGAAGGGGATGATGTGGTTGGATTTGAATTTGGCGCCGATGGATGATGATACGGAGGTATTCGTATAATAATTTGGGTTTTTCTTCGATTAAAAAATAATAATTTCATAATTTTATGAATAAAGATTGTAATTTCTTTTATTTGGTAAATAAGTTAACTAATTCTGTCTTTACTGTAAATTTTTTGATACTCTGACAATAATGAAAGGATTTTTCTTGCAATAAGTTTTATTATTATATCATAATTGTAATAAAGAGATTCAATAATATTATTATCAGAGTTTCAATAAATTCTTGCATAAAGTACGAATTAGTTGTAATTATTTACAAAAGGAAGTAAATTATAGCTCTCATTTGCAAATTTAGTAAATTTTTATTATTTTTCAATTAACACCAAGTTATGAAGAATTTTATATGAATAACATTTTAATTATTTTATTTCTAATTTTATATAGGGAAATATAGGTTTTTCAAATATGACTAAAAAATTGTTTTTTTTTTTTACTTTATTATTTTACTTTTTTATTATTATTTGAGGAGCTGATTTGTATTTGATGTAGCAATGCTTATGTTGAATGTATTGATGCTTATGTTTTTATCTCCTTGGCTATTTTATTTGAAGATTTTTTTTTTTTAATTTAATTGGAATTTGGGTGGGTGTGTTCAGGTAAGGGGTAGGATAAGAGAAATTATTTCATGCCCGTCCGGAGGTGAATCAGGATGCGTCACGATATATGTCGGTGCTATGTATCGGTTGATATAGTGCATTCTGATTCGTCTCCAGACGATCCAATTTTGTTTCTAGAAGAAACAATATGATCCAAAAAAATTTATAAAAAAAACTTATATTGCAAAAAATATTCATACATTTTCAAAATAGTAAATAAATAAGATGAATTATATGACTTGGGTACGGATATAAAAAACCATGATTATTTTAGGTTAATTTTGTACACTCAAGAGATAAATTAGGATAATATGATACTCTGGGACTAAATTAAATATACACAAATTTTTCTCTATTTTATATGATTGTTATCTACTCTGAAATTTATGAGGTTTAGATATTTTATGATAAATTTTTTTGTAAAGATAAACTTTAAAGTATTTGGATATATTTGAGTTGAGGATAATTTAAATTATTTATGTATTACGTTCATCCTAAAGCATATCCAAGGGCTTCAAATCCAACTTTGATAAATGTTTTTTTAGAATATATTGACATAAATATTTTTCATTATGCTATCAATAATAATTGTTTATGCATCTCACATTGATCTATTAATAGAGAGATTTGACTACGAACCAAGAAATTTTGGATCTGAAGTTTGAGCACGTGCTGTGTGCGTCAGTTTCTCTTAATTGACTCAAAAGTAAAAATAATAATAATAATATTTACTTATTTTTAATATAACAAGAATCATGAATCATATTTGATATAAAAGTATTGTAACATAGTGAGAATTATAATATCAACATTATTATTTATTTATTAAATTTAAAATTTAATTACTAATATGATATATGAAAATCATATTTATTTCTTAAAAAAAACAAGACAAATCATGCACATGTTAAATGGGACCACATAACTTAAATGAGAATTGATTTCAAAAGAAAATTTGACCACACGAAACAAGCTTCTATTGATCATCAAATGAATCGTGTAGAAGTTTCCAACATTTCATTGATAAGATAGATAAGCATTAATACTACAAAAAAAAAAAAAAAAGACAAAAAGCTAATAATCGAGAATCATAGAGCTAACAAAAAAAATGATGTGAAATAAATGATCTTGAATCTTTGAAAATTCAATGCTATAGATTAGATTATATAGAGTAGTTGATAGAATAGTTTAATCTTTAGGCTTCATTTGAGACAACTTTTTTATTACTTTTTAAAGTAATTTTTTGTACAATAATTTTTATTTAATTTTTTTTTGTAATAAAAAAAAACAATACAAAAATCCTCACAAACAAAATCTTATTCTAATAATCGGCACGAATCTCGAGACAAAATCAAGTTGGAAACTTTTGAAATTAAATTTGGGGCCATCCAAACTTTGCTTTCAGCAAACTTATAGTCGAACTGAATGTCTCGAAAATACAAACCCAACGACAGTAAATGCGACTCAATTTGAGCTCAAATGGGTTCAAATCAAAGACCCGAAGCACATTTGAAAAGTTTAAACCATAAATAATATGACCAAATGATTTCTAAACATGACATGCTTATAGTCGAGTTCAGCGACTCGGCGAGACAAATCCAACGAGCCCAAGATCGCCGAATTCTGATATCATTAAGACATTCAAATGCCTAGTAAATGATCCACAATCAAGGGAATCAATATTGTCTGTCAATTCAAACCACTCCCAACTTACCCTTGTCCTCCCTCATATTTATTAGTCATGCACTCTCAGAAAACTATAAATAAACCCTTCAATTCTCATGGAAAGAGACTCAAGTAAGGAGGAGAAGAATGACAGAAACTAAAGTTCTCTTGCCACCGAACTCCTCATCAACTACCACCGAATTTTCACCCAGCCACTGATTGAAACTGGACTTTCGCCCGGCCACCGACTGACACCGGACTTTCATATGACCACCAACTAACACTAGATTTTTGCTCGACCACCGAACGTCGTCGGATTTCCTTCCGATATCCGCTTGTCACTAGATTTCAGCTTGACAGTTGATTGTTGTAATCTGATCGTCCTCAATAGAACATATCATTCATTTGTAATCTATTCAAACACCAGTGGAATCATTTGAACTGGGCATGGCCCTGTGATTTTTCTCCTTTTTAAAATTTTCCACGTAAACAATCTTGTGTTTCTGAATTCCTTATTTATGTGTTGGATATATGTACAACGCCGAGGCAAAAAATTCTAACTCTATCGCTGCGTATATTTTAGTCTGTAACAATTAAGCTGTGTGTTTCAATTAAAATTCACAATTATCAATAAACATATTCTCCTCAGTGAATATTATCATAAAAATTGATTCTTTTATTACAATCGATTGAGTACATAAACAGACTTCATATCGAATAGTAGTAGTAAAAAAGTATAGCCCTAATAGGCTAATACTATTGTTTGGGCATTGATTGATGACTTGCCTTATTTGGTTATTATCTGTTATCTATATTTTCCTTTTTGGCCAACCTATATGAACTTAGACCTGTCAATATTGCACCCGACCCAAAAATCTGAATCGAATCCGACCTGAAAATTTCGAGTTTGGGTTGACCCGAAGCGGGTCGGGTTCGGGTCCGGAAAACTGACCCATTTGCAAAACCGGGTCGAGTTCGGGTTGACCCGGAACCCGGGAACGACCCGAATTGACCCGGAATAACACAAACCCGCGTCGCCGTCGCGCAGTCGAGCGAGCCGCGCGTCCCGCACTCGCGCCATCTCGCATTCCCTTCGGATTTGACCCGAACCCGACCCGTCACCCAAAATTGACACCCTTATCTGAACTATTTTTTCACACTTTAATGGCAGCCTAATAATACAGCCCACCTAACAAAATGGACTTTGACTTGCTAAGCCCAATACGTTGTAAGATCATAGCTTTAGATTCAATGATAAATATATTAAATTTTTGGCATAAGAGTAACGAGTCACGCAATTGATGTCTTCTCTAGTGAGATAAAATCGTTGATATCAGTTCTTCTTTGTATAATTTAGGATTTGTTTGAGACGGCTATAGAATTTTATAAAATTGATTGTTAAATTGTTATGAAAAAAAATAACTTCAAAATTATAATTACTGAAAATAGTTTTGCATCATAGAAATTTTTGAAAAGTTATGAGAAAGTTGTAAAAAGATAATAGTTAAACGAAATTATAGTTGTTGTCTAAAACATAAAATAGTAAAAAAAAACTGTCCCAAATAGGAGAAATTATTACGTGCGGTCACCGGACCGTCTAGAGGTGAATCAAGATGCGCCACGCCACCCAGTACACAGTGTACAAAATTTCGATATTAAGCAAAAAAAGTTACGTGGCGTGTGCTAATTTGCCTCCGGACGACGTCTGCTGACCGCGCATAATAATTTCTCCTCAAACAAGCCCTTCAATTTTTATAATCACTCCAAACTAAACTTGTTCAGTTTTTATATTTTTAAGTGTATTTAATATTAATATATTTTAAATAAGTTGACTCAAGAGCTAACGAGTAGAATTGAAGCTCATTCAAATTTGATTTGTTAGCTCATCAGACTGACATAAGAGCCATTTATCGAATTAAGTCCAAATTAGCTGACGAGTTGACTCAGTTACACCCTTACATCAAGTTAAAGTTGGTTGAGGGAATTTAGTATTAATGGTGAATTACTAATGCATTTAGCATCTCTTATGATTTTTCTCCTGGTCTTTTTAAAAAAATTTAATATAAATTTGATGAAAAATTAATTAATTAATGTTATTGAGAGAGGCCTCCTAATTAAATATTATTCCATCAGTAGAAGCAAAATTAGTCTCATGTGAATGAGGTTGTCTGATGAGTGATGAGGAGTTTTAGTTCAAATAATATACTCATTGATTTTTAAGACAGATTTCAATTAAATAATATATTTCAATTCTTAAAGAAAGATTAGTTGTTTCAATCACAAGTTTTCTTTTTCAACATTTTGGAAAATTAAGGCAAACTCATATACAAATAACATATAAAAACTTTGAACTCAAAACCTCTTTTTTTTTGGAGGAAAACCACATAGGTGCTTACGCGTTTATTAAAAAGGAGTTACAAATTCTTAAAAGACCTACAAGCTCACTAAAAAATACAACAATTGAAGCAAAACCTAAGAGCTAAAGGATCAAAATCATTACAATCATAAAAAGCAAAAGAAAAACAACAGAGGAATAAAACAGGCACCAGATGCAGCTAGCAGTAGCAAATCAATAGAAAGAAGAGACAAACAACCACACCTGCATGAAAAGATTAAGAAAAAGCACCTACAAGAGAGCAAACAAACAAAGCCATCCTATAACAAGTAGCCAAAAGGTCACCAAAGCAATACCAAAGTTCACCATGGAAGCAGCCAAAAAATCAGGGTCGACCCGCCGATTCACCGCCATTCTGCCTAGTCAAGGTGGACGAATTGGCCCAAGACGAGCAAGGAGCAAACAGAAAGCTCAAGCGTGGAATAAAAAATGGCAACAAAAAAAAGGAACAAGAGAAGAGTCCCCTCGGCACCAGAGCGAGCAAGCTAGGGCATACCCCAAGCAGAGAACGGAGGATCGACGACGGGAGGCCCTAGCAGCGCCCAGAAACATCATGGAAAGGTAACAACTCAAGGATAAAAAGTTAATCTCATATTACACATGAGACTAGCTGACCTTCTTTTCGTCTCGATGGAAAAAAGTTTTGTCTGTAACTCAAAACCTCTTAGTTGATAGTAAAAGCTCCTAACGAACAGACTAGGATAAGCTTCGTATAATAAACATTTTAATTCTTACACATATAGTTGACTTATTTCTTTTTTCTTTCAAGAAAAGAATAATATTATGATATCATGATGAAAATCTTGAATCGTCTTTTGACTTATTTTGAAACTATTGTATTATTTAGATGATTAATACTATATTCATTTTAAAATAATTTGAAATATTTTATGTTTTCTGAGATGCAATTGTGTCACATGTCCTTAAGTCATGACGCATTTTTACATTTTTTTCCCACATTTTTTTTTTAACTATCAGAATATTCTTAAATGTTTTTTTTTTCAGCCATAATTTTAATTATATTTTCTTAAAATATTTTAATAAAACAAAATTTTAAAAATCTATCTAATACCTTTTTCGCTTTTTCTTCCGTGAAAGCAAGAATAAATAAAATAAAAACCGAATTAAATAATAACATTTTCTTATTCTTCATCACCCCTTCAGAAAGGAGCTTTTATTACATCCGGTGAACGTACGTAGAGCTACGTTCGGCCAGCATTAAGATCGCATGCACAAAACGAGAAATACGGAGCAAATACCGAGCAATACCCACAATAACGAGAAAATAGCATTATATGAAGACCAATACCGAGTTATACCGAGCAATACCAAGTTTTTTCTAGAAAAAACTCGGTATTTTTTGGTATTACTCGGTATTGCTCGGTATAACTCGGTATTGATCTTCATAGAGCGGTATTCCTCGTTATTACCAAACAATACCTAACAATATCGACCAAATACCGAGTAAAAATCGAGTAACAATCCTCTGACCAAACATAGATCTACGTCCGGTCAGACGACATAATAAAAGTTCTTCAGAAAGAGCAAATTTTCTAGCGTGGATTCTATCAAAAAAGTGGGAAAAAATGGAAAAATTAGAAAAAATACCCCCGCATGCAAACTGCTCCAGCAAGAAATTTAACTAATTATATGTTAGGCAATTTCATTGAAGAAAGAGATATTAAGCTACCCCCCCTACGTAATTGCACTAATTAGTGATTTCTTGGAGATTTCTACATCAAACCAACTGCACTAATTAATATATTAATCCAAGTGGACATGACCTTTTCTATTTATGAAAATAAATATTACAATTAATATATATTTTTTGCATGGATTTAATTGTAAATTCACATATATATTTTATGCAAAACCTTAAATTAAAGACCTCTTAATAACAAACACGTGATGTATCTCATTATTTTTAAAAGGAGGCAAAGTAAGTTGAACTCAAATTGGATTTCGCAAGCAATGAGCAATGGACATGATAGAGGAATAGTAAGGTGAGATAATTATGGTGAAGAGACCATAACAAATTTATCACAATAGACTTAAAAGGAGTGAGATTAGCAACCAACTTCTTAAAGAAATGCAAACAAGGAGAAGTGAACACTAAGAGAAAGAGGAGGGGCAGGGTGTTGATGGATGTACTATACATTTGGGTTTCTCAACTCGATGGTGAGATCAAGAGAAAAGAACTAGCATAGCAAAAGGGAAGTTTCAATAGAGGAGAATAGTGAAAGGAGAATATGACTTTTATACTTGTTGCGGGCTAGAATATACACATTGATAGAGTTAGAATTTTTCGTCTCAACGTTATATGAATATCCAGCTCACAAATATGGAATTTATAAACACAAGATTTTTTAAGTGTAAACCCTGGGAAAGGGAAAAAACACGAGGCCACACTCAGTTAAAATGATTTCATTAGTATTTGAATAGATTATAAATGTTTTGCTTGTTCTTGAATGTTGCAACAGTCAATTGTCGGGTTGAAATCTATTGACAAACGAAAATTGGATGGAAATCCGGCGACGATCAGTGGCCGAGCGAAAATTCGGCGTTAGTCGAGAGTTTTGATTAGTCCAAATTTAATTTCAAAAGTTTCCAACTTGATTTTGTATCGTGATTCATGTTCGATCAAGATACTTTTTTAAGGATATATTAACAACTATTAATACTAGCGGTGAGCATAATAAGTCCCTTTTTTTTTCAAAGCACAATATTTATCCAATAAAAAAGAGGGTTACAACAACGATAGACCAACAGCCCGAGGTACAAAATAGTAAAAACCTATAAAACCAGACATAAAAGGAGAAGCAGCGAATAGGGACTCATGAATGGAGGCCCCCTACACCAACCTCGCAGTCAAACATGGATCATCCTTAGGTGTCAGTTATAAGAACACTATCCAGAATCCACCAAGCAACAAAATGAGGCACCCAGGTTGCCAACCAGCCCAACCAGTAAGGGGAACCAGGGAGCCTCCTCCTCATCATCCAACAACATTCTAAAACCACTGACGAAATAGCAAAAACCAAAACCACACCCTATTTCTTCTTGCCTTTGCTTTTATGCTTCTTTCCACCCGCATTTGGAAAATCACGATTGATAGAGCATTATACTATTTCCTCCTCAAAATCCTGAAAATCCATTTCCTTCCTGCCAGAAGGAGAAGAAAGGGAATCCTGATTGAAGCAAAACAGAGTTTTTCCTAGGCTTAGCTATATGAGCTTTCACTTCAACATTAGACATAATTGAAATAGGGATATTAAGAAAATTAGCATTGCCCTCGAAGCCATCATTAGGAGTTAAATCCGATTGATCATGAACCTGCACATTCGACGCCAGGTTAACATAAGAAGAAACAGCATCCGGACTCTTGACAACCAGTGAAGAGGATTCCACACAACCAATCAATTTCCAACTAGGAGAAACAGAAGAACCAGAAGGCTCAACGCCCACACAAGGTACATCATCCAAACCCAAATCGCATGGGACAGACACATTATCCGCACAAGATAAAACAAGTTTAGAATTCAAACCACGATTCAATACACCAACCTCACTCGAACATAACCGCGAAACCTGGGCAACAGGAGCCACCCCCTCCGAAACCACTATAGAGTCCATCTGGACTACATTAGAATTAGAAATAACAAGATTAAACCCTCAAAAACCACAACATTCTCAGTAATATTCACAGCATGGCCTAATTCTTAAGGGATAACAACCACAGCATTAGCATAATCCCCCGCAATAGAGATCGGCACAACAGGGGTAAGGAAGGATGAATTAAAGCATGAATATCAGAAACCTTGTTAGAGACCTTGTTAGAATTAGGCAGATCAGCCACATGAGGATGACAATTCCCAACCGCATGTCCAATATTTTTACAAGAAGCACAAAAATAAGGGAACTCATCCATAACCACTTATTGGACATAGCCGAACTTCTCAAAGCTTAATCACACCTTGTCTAGATAGGATTTAGTGATATCCAGCTCCACTAAAACACGAGCTAAAGACAGACTGGATCAAATAGAAGTGGCAGAATCAATTTTCAAAGGTTTGCCAAAGAGAGAGGTCAAACCGTGAAGAATGTGGGGGAAAAAGATGTGAAAACACAATTGTGAAAAATATACCCAAATCAAGATCATCGGCGACTCAACACCGACATAGACAAGGGGAGACCACTTTGTAAGCTTCATGTAAAAATTATAAATCAAATACGATCTATGACAGAAGACCCTACAGTAATGAAGGTCATTTGCCATCTTGATAAGAATATGCAACGGATCCAACATGGTGACCGAAACCTCCCCATTCAGCTTGAGATTGAAAAAAATCTACGAATGGTATCAAGAGAGGGTCATTTGGAAGGAAAAAAAACCACCTAAAGAGAACTGAAAAGAAACAGCTAAAGCCTATATTTCCTGATCCGAGATCCAAAGGGAAGGCAAGCCACGAAAAGAGGATGTCCTAAGCTCAGGAAAATCAATGACTGAAGAAGAGCCCGCAAGAACATCCAAAAAATAACGCGAAGAAGACAAACCCCCTAAAATTTTAATTTGATCACAATTTTTTATTGCATCCCTTTTTTTTTTTTTTTGCTAGAAAATTATTTTCTACATCTTTAATAAAATTACTCTTTTCATAACAATTTACAATCAACTCAATAAAAAACTACAATTGTTTGAAAGGAAGTCTTGGGCTTCGTTTGAAATGACTTTCTTAATGCTTCTTAAAATAACTTTCAACTATAAAAATTAAAAATTTTTACTAAAAATTTGCTTTAAAAAGCACTAAAAAAGCCGTCCCAAACGAACCCTTTTGTCTTTTTTTTTTTTTTCAAAAATTCGCCACAAGTGGTGTAGTATTTCCCTCTTTGATGCGCAGCTTATTTGAAGCTGTTTGACAGCCTAAATGGACTCTTCAATACTAATTATAATTCTGATTTGAATGAAAGTTTTTTTAAACAATAACGTTCTACTAATTAGCATTTTCATAACAAACAACCGAGTAACCATCCTATATTTGTATTTCGATCATTTATTAGCTATAAAAATGTGTTTTTCTCTCTTAAAAAATCAGATATTTTGCCCATCTCCTTATACCTAATAGACCTTGCCAAAGTTATCACAGAAATCAAAAACATAACACAGCCATAATTACATGACAATGCAGCAAATAAGAGAGAGTTAAGGGCCAACATTCTACTATTTTTAGATAGAGATGAATTTAAACATGTTTAAGGCTTCCTTTGGGATGGATTTTTTACTACTTCTTGAAGCAGCTTTTTAGTATAAAAATTAAAACTTTTGTACTAAAAAGTTGCTTCAAGAAGCAGTAAAAAAGCCGTCCCAAACGAAGCCTAAGTTGGGAGTGTGGAAACTTCCCCAGCAATGAAAAATAAATAGCATTGCACTTAGGGCAGGGAGGTTTAAAGAATATGATAGGATCAAGAATGCAAATCATACTTACCTGAACATCAAATCAGATTTGTAAAAAGAAAGATCCAACAACAATCTTAAAGAAGCACCTCCCATCCTCTACTTTCTACGAACTACAGCAGGCTGATCTCTCTGAAGCTTTGTTTTCACCAGTTGCTTGATCTGGTTTGTTAATTTTAACTGTCCTTTCCTGGCGGTAAGAAGACAAATAATAAGTTTCCAGGAAAGAACTTTAGAATTGAACAAGTAATCATACCTCAGGTTTGTTGTCAGATTCTGCAAGTCTCTGCTTGATGTCTCTAGCAATTGAAAAGAAAACTTGTTCCACATTTAGATTTGTTTTTGCGCTCTGGCAAGCAATCATATACAAGAAAAAGTTAGAAGTTTCAAATGCTAAATAAATAAATAAATAAAATGGTCCCGAACTTTTGAGATGCGTCATTTTAATTCCAAACTTTGTGTTCAATTTGATCCCTTAACTCATCATATTTGAATCAATTTAGGCTTCGTTTGGAACGGCTTTTTTATTGCTTTTTAAAACAGTTTTCTAGTTTAAAATTTAAAAATTTTATACTAAAAAGCTACTTTAAGAAGCATTAAGAAAGCCGAAACAAAACCTTAGTCCTATAGTCAACTTAACCGTCTCTTTCGACAACAATTGGAGAAGAGAATCTATAGTCAACTTATCATAAGATTGTTTTAGACTTTATGGAGCCAATTTCATTCATTTGAACTGGTACTAAGTAGTCAGATTGACCAAAAGAAATCCAAAATATCCTCATACAAAGAATGGATCCAACAAATTGTATCCAAATAAATGACAAGATTAACAATAGGAACTGTAGTTTTGTTTAAATTTAATGAGCTGAGAGATTAAATTGAACTCTATGAAAAAATTTTATCAAAAGGAACATATCTACAAAGTCTAGTGATCATTTTGATTATTTACTCCAAAAAATAATAAGAAATCAAAAAATAAATGAATATTCTAAATGCTTACAGTTTCAAAGAACTTGATTCCATATTCATCAGCCAGTGCTTGTCCTTTCGAGGTAGGAACAGCCTGAGCAATTTCTATATGAAGTGTCAGTGCTAAACTCGGATCACATGTTAACATACAGTTTCAAGGAACTATATCTCAGATGCATATTTATGATTGGAGCACATCATTAAAGACATGAATTTAAAAAATGGAGAAACAAAACGATTTCCAGCTGATAATACCCTTTCACTTTGAACCATGTGAGCCTAGCAGCAAACACATTGCACGAACTGAAATGTAGAAGAAATTATTCTGTGCGGAGGCCGGACACAGCACTACGTTCGGAGGCAAATCAGGTGCAGCCACGTCAGCGGTACTGAGCTGTGGTACCAAGCAATCTGAGCCGCGGTACCCAGCGAATGGGTGATGTGGCGCATTATGATTGGTCTCCGAGCGACGTTCGTCGTCCGCACAGAATAAGAGAGTAAAAAGAGGAAGAAAACATATAGAAAGAGAAGAGGGAAAATAGAAGAGAGTACCCTTCTGCTTTCGTCCATGTCAGCCTTGTTACCCACTAGAATCTTGTTAACGTTGTCAGAGGCATGTTGTTCAATATTCCGGATCCAATTTCTTATGTCTGCAAATTGCAAATACCAGAATTATGAGAAATTGGAAAGAAAATGGTACTGAAGAAAACCATCACAGGAGGACATTATTGTAGCTGTTAACTGTTGAAAGATGACTCGTCAGTTACATCATAAACAAGTAAAATGCCCATGGCCCCTCGATAGTAAGCTGCAAGTAAAAAAAACAAGGTAAGAAAAGCTCAATGGCAGCTCCAAATGACAAGAAAAGGAGACAGATTATAGAAGACACACCCGTAGTAATAGTCCTAAAACGTTCCTGACCGGCTGTATCCCAAATTTGTAATTTAATACGCTTTCCATCCAGCTCAATTGTTCTTATTTTAAAATCAATGCTACATAAGAAGCAAACAAAAAGCAATCAGAAATGCCAAAAAAAGTAGATACGAACAACTGACAACTTAAACCCGGACGAATCTGTCTTTAGGAAGCAATAATAAACTATGTAGAACCTACCCGATTGTGGTAATGAAACTTGTAGTGAAGGAGCCATCTGAGAACCGTAACAAGAGGCAACTCTTGCCGACGCCTACAAAGGACAAAATCAGTTTACATCAAATGTGAACTTGCTATGGGACAGTATATATCAACCAAATCAATTTCAATCTATATGAAATCATTTCTTAATTACCTGCGAATGAATTATCATCCATCAAAGAGATTCCAAATGAAAAAAGAAAAAAAATGGAGTACCACACAAACTGTTGTTGGAAGTGGTAGCAAGTAAAAAAGAATAGAAATAATACAAGCAAGTTTGAAGCTACATATAAAATCTCAGATTTGATTATATGCATAACCCCTCGTTCTCCCTCGTTTTCTCTCTCCTATGTTCCCTCTAGTTCCCATGCCTCATTACAACTCTCTCTCCCTCTCCCTCCCTCCCTCCATCTTACAACTCATTTAAGCCCACTACCTCCGTTCTCTAGCTCTGCATTCTCTCTATCACTCTCCATCTCACAAACTCATCTATATTGAAATCGACCCTATGCCTTTATCCTCTTATTTTCTACTTTAGTGGCAAAATCATGAGAATCACAAATACAGCAATGTCACTGAAGAAAGACTCGATCAAATCTGAGGAATAAAAGCTAGAAGACAGAAGACAGTGTATTCAAAAGAGAGACAATGCTTGGATTCCTACGGATTGCAACAATATTGGGTCAGATCATAAACTCATATCAAGCTAAAAATTATAAGGGATATATAGACTCAAGACTATTTGACCCGACCCATTTTTACAAACGGGTCGATTTCTCGAACCCGAACCCGACCCCAAATTTACTTTTTATCTTCTCTTTTTCGTCGTTGTTGTTCGGCTTAGTTCTGCAACAAGGGAAGTTCACTGGCTGTGAAGGTAACTTCGTTCCTTCGACGATGTTTCCTTCTGATTGGATCAGAAGTTACAACATTTTGATCGGAAGCAATAAGGGGAGCTCGCTGGCTGTGAAGTTAACTTCGCTCCTTCGACAATGTTTTCTTTCGATTGGATCGGAAGTTACAACATTTTCATCAGAAGCAACGAGGGGAGCTCGCTGGCTGTGAAGGTAACTTCGCTCCTTTGACGATGTTTCCTTCCGATTGGATCAGAAGTTACAACATTTTGATCGGAACGACGGGAGCTCCCTCGCTCTTTTTATCTTCTTTTTCTCGCCGTTGCTGATCAACTTCGCTCCACGGACATGGCCAAATCCCGTAAATACACAGAACAACAAGAATTTCGGGTCAAAACGGGTCATTTTCGGGTTTCCAGGTCAACCCGAACCTGACCCGAAATTCGAAACGGGTTGAAAATCAGGACCCGAACCCGACCCGTTTCGGGTTGACCCAACCCAAAATTTTTTTGTTTCGTGTCGGGTTCAGGTCGGGTCCAATATTGACACCCCTAATGTTATGAATGCTTTACTAATAAGGCACATATCATGCTCCCAATAAGGCGGATGAGAAGTCTCCTCTGTGAAACAAAAAATCATGCTGTGCAAGCATAAGGTAATTATAGCGTAAAAAAACAAACGGTAAACTTTCAAGAAATCGCAATCACAAATGTGATGGGTTTAAAACAATGGAAAATTGACACAAACGCCAAGCTGTGGTTGGTTTCGATGTGGGAATGCCAATGAATTGAAGAGTTCAAAGGGAAAGAAGATGAAAAGGAAAGAGATGAAACCACAGAAGAACTTTTGGGGAAAAAAAAGTTAAGAGGAGAATAAAGAGAAGAACATCTGATCAAGATTGATATTGAAAATAAATGAGTTAAAGATATAGAATTGGATTAAGAGAAAAGAGATATGAGGGGAGAGGGGGGGTTTAATGGGAGTGAGACAAAGGGCAAAAGAGAGAACAAAAACGGAAACTATGTATTTAAATAACCTCGACCGTTGCAAGGAAATACAAAGCTAACGTCCAAAAAGACATAATAACTATTATTTAAACTATTTAGCTATTGACTAGGTAGGGCTATATAAAGAATAAAAATTAATCATGCCATTATTGTGGAGAGAATTCATAAAATCTTCCAAATTTGTTCAAGATCACCTCCTAGTACAAAATCATGACACATGCAATCAAAAAAGTCTACCACATCAACCTCCATTCAAAGGAACATGTTAAGGAATATATCAAGCGGTGCTCCTTTTCAAGGCCAGTTCAAGTTCAAATGACAGTGGAACTGAGTAGAGTCGGGAATACTAATTTCAACTGGACCTGATCTCAATTACAATCCAGTCTCAGTTATAAAAGCTGCAAAATCTTCAAGACTTGGCCAAAGTTACGCAAGGGACGCCAAATAGAAAGCTGCATAAGGTGGCACCATAGAAAGCAAACAAAAAGATGTACTATTCATACAAGGAATAAAGAACTACAGAAACAGAAAAGCCAATGAATCAAAATCTGATCACACCTAAGAAGAAAGTCACTGAACAAAAGCCGCAATAGAGAATGCCTGTTAATTTCTATGGATGGTAACAGTACTGAGCGATATCATACACCCATACTAAGCTAATAAATATAAGACATCCATTAGATCTCAATAATAATGACATTATAATGGAGAGATATATCGTATTTTATATTTTGTTCTAATTATGTGCAACCCTCATATGTTATGAACATGAAGGCGGTCATTCTCCCAACTAAGAGTAGAAAACTCTATTCTAAAGAGTAGATTTTGTGAAACAAAACACAATCATTTGCAAGTAATGTAATGGCAGCGTAGGGACCATACCAAGATATATTGCAAGGAATCACGGCCACAAATGTCATAGGCTTAAAGCAACGGCGAGTCAACACAAATGCAAAATCATAACAAGGTTATGATGTGGCAATGCCAACAAATTGAGCGGTAGAAAGGCCAAAAAGCTCAAGAAGAGAGCAAAAGAAAAGAGATAAAAGCACAAAAGAACTTTTCAAAAAAAAAATTGCAAAGGAGAATAAAGAGATGAACATAGAATTTGAGATAGATAATAAAGAGCAATTGAGATAGACAAATAGAATTAGATTAGAAGAGGACTAATAAAATTACAAGAAGCAGGCCGTTCAGTGGGTCCAACAGAAGAAGAGCGAAAATAAAAGAAAAACTAGGCTTTGTATTTAAAAAAACTTGACTATTACGAGACAAAACAATGTCAAAACAATATATTTATATATATATATATATATATATTTCGTTTGTGAATTTTACATTTTTTTTAGATCATATCATGGGATTATCCATCTCCATTAATGCTTTGTAAATGTTAGAATGTATATGAATTAACCTCTCCATTGCTCCCTTTCTAAGAATAAATAGAATAAAACAGTTCAGACCATATTCTATTTAAAGGAAAAGTCACACTGATGCCCAACCTTGTACATCAGCATTAGGACTTCTTCAAAGATGAGAAGTCTAGCTGCCAACTCTAGACCACGAAAATCCACATAATGAGATCAAAGAATCATATAATAACAATCTAAGAACAACATTCATCCAAATATCTATGCCTAAAGAAGTTGAACTCAAAAGTCAACGTATCTCAAGTTTTGGTCAAAATTTAGACGCTTATATGCATTCTGTTGCACCAAAAAAATGGCCTTGTATTGACTCATGGATAGAATGCTTCCTTCATTCTCTCAATTAAGGCCAATGTAACTATTATTTGCATTTGCTAGGATATTCGGGCCCAATAAATAATTTACATGAAGTTTAATCGAATAAATTTAACTATAGAATAAATAACTGAAAAAGAAATCAGTTGCACCATAGGCATATGGGGAAGTAGGCAGGCATAAGCATGCCGTCTTGGATATTGGCTTTATCAGATAACTCAACCCACTGCATATTTTTGTTAAAATATAACTGTTTCGGTTCATCTTACCTGTCAGCCTTTTTCCCTTGAAAGTAAATGTTAATGCATGCTACGGCCATGCATTCATATAACAACAACAACAACAACAAACTTTTATCCCACTAAGTGGGGTCGGCTACATGAATCCTTTTTCAACATTGTGTACGGATAAAAGATTCTCATTTAAATCTAATAAAGAAATATCATTTCTAATATTTTCTAATCAAGTCTTTATAGGTCTACCTCTACCTTTCTTAACATAAGTCAGATCTAATACCTCAACTTTCCTAACCAGGTCATCGGAAGGCCTCCGTTTAATGTGACCAAACCATCTAAGGCGACTCGCTCTAATCTTATCGTCCACTAGAGCTACTCCAACCTTTTCACGTATATGCTCATTTCGTATCCTATCTCTACGGGTCAAGCCACTCTGATATGCCACCGGCCCAGGTGGAGCCGGCTGGACCGGTCCTTGTCTACACCCGGCGGGCCCCACAGGGGGCGGAAAACAGAGAGAGAAAGGAGGGGGGCGGAAGCTCCAAGTGGGCCATGCTTGGATTAATTTAAACTTAGGAGGGAAAAATTGAATGAAGGGGTTGTTTAGGAAGTTTGTAATTGTCCTTTGATGTTAATTAGGAGCTTAGGAGGTAATTAGGGGGATTATCTTGAATTTGAATGAAAGTTTGAGATCTCATCGTGTGCTTGGGCTCTAGGGTTTGCGATAGACTTGTGAAGAGTTGTTCTTCCTCTCGAATCGAAGATCATTGTATCGTTTATTGTTTTCTTGCATCTATTAGTGAATTTCCATCGTTCTTCTCCAAGTTTTCTATTGTTCTCTCATAAAAACTGCTGTGTTTGGCTATTTTCCTGTTACAAACAGCAGCTTGTGCTTTGTTTTCTCACTGATTTCGATTAGGTTTGCTTGCAAACTTAAGTATTACCTTGGGGTTACTTGCAAACTCAAGTATTTCCTATCAAATTGGTTTAGAGCCATCGATTTAGGACCATCGATGGCTGAAATTCTAAAATTTCAGCGGATTTTTTGACAACCGGAAGAAGATCATTGTGATTCTTGGGAAGAGAAATAGCCGGGAAGAAGGTAGAAGTCTTGGAAGGCGAGATCGGTCAATTAAAATCAGATTTGGAGGAAAAGTTCTTTGATTTTCAAAACCAAATCACTTCCTACAATGAAAGGATAGAAGGGAAATTA